TCTCTCGCTGTGCCTCCTGCTGTCCTCTGCGTCCCCTGCAGCCCCCCTAGGTCTATAAAGTTTAACAGCGCTGTGATTTGGTATCGGTCGCTTGGCGACGACGTATATGGATCTAACGAATGCGCATTCGAGATCAGAAAAGAGGGGGATCCAATGTCGGATCCCCCTCCTCGTTCGCTTTGCTCGAACCTCTTGGTTGTGATTATGAGTATCGATCGCTTCGCGATGACGTGTGCTGATCTGACGAATGCGCATTCGAGAAAGGAAAAGAGGGGGATCCAACGTCGGATCCCCCTCTTGGCTCGCTCTGCCTGAGCCTCTTGGCTGGTTTAGTCCGAGGGGAAAAAGGGAAAGCGGGGGAGAGCAGCAAGGCGGACTTGTTGCAAGCCGCTCGTTTTTCTCGCCGGCTAGGCCGAGCGCCGCGGGGCGCGGCCGCTGCGTGGGCGCGCTGTCTTCACTGCGCGCCAAAGCAGCCGCCCCTGTCGGAGCCGCTCTGCTTGGGGCTCGTGGCGCACCACCAGTAGCGCGCCACCTCGGCGGGCCTGGCGGTCCGACAGAAGTGGTTCCGCTGGGAGGTCAGCTTCTGCAGCTTCTCCTGTGGGGACCGGCGAGCCCAAAGGTGCCTGGCGCCCAAAGAGCAAGGCTGCTTAAGAGAAGCAGAGGGAGAAGGGGGAAGGGGGCCCGAAGGGCAAAGTTGTGTGATCCCTTCCGCTGTGGCGGTCCTTGGTCTTCCTGTGCTCTTCCTGCTCCTGCCTCGTCTTCTCCGCTTCCTCCTTGTTCTTCTGCTCGGCTTTTTCGAGCTTCTTCTTAAGCTTGGCGTTTTCCTCTTCAAGCGTGTTCGCCTTTTCGGCCAGAGGCCGCAGTGCGCTGATCACGCTTTTGTTCTTGTTAAGGACATTCGTGACGAGGTCGGCGCGCCGATTGGCCTCCTTAGCATTTCCCATGTACTTCGACACCTCCCACTTGAGTTCCTGAACCACCTCCCTGGCCTTCGCCACCCACGCCGCTTTCACCCACGGTTTCTTGACCCACCGCTCGAACGAAGCCTTGCGTTTCCGATCGCGCGTCGCGATCGCCTTCCGCAGGCGCGCGGCGACAGACGATGCAGGCATGGCACAACCCGTCGAAGTTTGAGCGGTATCCAGCGGCTTAGCGGTTTGAACAAAACACCTACGTAATCGCCATCACGATCATGAACATCATCCTCGTCGTCATCATCGTCCTCGTCATCATCGTGATCATCATCATCATCATCACCATCATCATCATCATCATCATCATCATCATCGTCATCGTCATCGTCATCGTCATCATCGTTCTCTCCATCATCATCGCGATCATCATCATCACCATCATCATCATAATCAGCCGCGGCGAACTCCTCCTCCTCTCCTCCTCCTCGTCCTACTCAGTGCCATTCGCAGCTGGAGGCTGGAACACCAGAGACCATTGAGAAAACCCCAGTATACCTAAAAAACCTATAAAAAAATGTCTGCTAAATCTGCCTGACCCGAGGCCACTTCCTGAAGTTCGCCCGAAAATTTGGTTTTTTAGGTTTTTTCATGTTTTTTAGGTTTTCCTGCGACTCCCGCTTGAGGACTGCTGGGGGCGCTTTCCGACGCCCAAGTCGGAAAACGCTGAAAACGCCCAGGCCTGCATCGGGCCTGGCGCCCCTCCTCCTCATCCTCCTCCTCCTCCTCCTCCTCCTTCGTTTTCTCCTCCTCCTCCTCCTCCTCCTCCTCCTCCTCCTCGTCCAGTCGTTTTCCTTACAAGCTGCTCCTCCCCGACGCGTGTCGGTAGGGCGGGCCGGGCGGTTTCGCTTGAGAGTTGCCTACGTCCATGGTTTGTATGTTGAAAACGTGTATCTAAAACAAAGAAATGATAGAGGGCGGCCGTTTCCAGCATGTGATTATCGCTTCAGTTCCGCGCACATGTTTTTTGAACTGTGCAAGAGCGTCAGGGATGGAGGGCGGATGGTCTTCAAAATGTCGTTTTCGCCACAGCGCCAAACATAAATTTGGAAGAGATTCACGTATGGAGGGTGGATAGTTTTCAAAGTTTGGCCATCTGGCTTAAGCGCCTCGCACACGCGTTTCACAAAAATTGCAAGACCTTCACAGATGGAGGGCGGTGTTTTTTATTGTGGTTCAGGCCTCAGCGCCGCGCACACTCGTTGCAAATATTCGCAAGAGCTTCACATATGGAGGGCGAATCATATGTTAAATTGTGGTTTTCGCTTCAGCCCCGCGTGAACTCGTTTTAATAATGTCAAGAGCTTCACGGATTGAGGGCGGCTTCGTTTTCAAAAATGTGGTTATCGCGTCAGCAGTGCACACGTTCGTCGTACGAGTTGATTACAGGTTTGGAGATGTTCATGGTTAACGTTTTTGATATTGTGTTTTGATACGATACTCGACTGTCAGGGAGCAGAACTTGTGCCAATTCGCGGTGTTGAAGTCTCAACGCACGGTTCCGGATCGTCAAGAAGCAACAGCAGGGGTGATTCGCGGTGATGAAGACCCACGAATGGTGTTTTGGCACAGTTCAAGAATTTCAAACGGTTGTACTCCAACGGGGAATGTCCTTCAGCGAAAATCAATCCGTGTAGGGTCCTGTGAACGGGGGAGATTGGAGGGAGGGTCTGTGGCGATTTCGTTGTTGAGTCTTGGGGTTACACTGGTCCTCCTCTTCCTCCTCCATCTCCTCCTCCTCTTCCTCCTCCAGTTATTCTCAGTCTAGGTAACTCCTCCCTGTCTCATCCCCAGGCTGGTCGAAAGGGTGGGTTGGGCTTTTCGCTTGAGACTTCCTTACCATGTATGATCTTGATTGGTAGCAGCTTCACGGATGAAGGGTGGACGGTTTTGAAAATGTGGTTCTCGCCTTAGCGCCGCGCACCTTCGTCCTAGGAAGGTGAAAGAGTTACACGGATTGTAGGCGGGTGGTGTTCACAATGTGTTTCTCGCTTTAGCGCTTTCGCACAGTGCACATTCTGTGTAGTAAATCGCCAGAGTTTCACGGGTTGAGGGCGGGTGGTGTTCAAAATGTGGTTCTCATTTTAGCGCCTCGTAAATTCGTTTTTGAATTCACCAGGGCTTCACTGATTGAGGGCGGGTCGTTGTCAAAAGGTCGCTCGTGTCTCAAAGGAACGTGCGCTGCCCTCGCCCCCGCCGCGCCTCTTGGGAGCCCACGAAGGAGGCGACCGTTGCGCAGCTCGCAGTCCCCGAGGGAGCCGCGAGGTCTCAAAGGGATCTGCGCTGCCCTCGCCTCCACCGTGACTCCCAGGAGCCCACGAGAGTGGCGACAGTTGCGCAGTTCGCAGCCCCCAAGGAGCCGCAGGGTCTCACAGAGGGCTCTGCGCTGCCCTCGCCTCCGCCGTGCCTCCTGGGAGCCCACGAGCGTGGCGACGGTTGCGCAGCTCGCAGCCCCCAAGGAGCCGCGAGGTCTCAGAGGGATCTGCGTTGCCCTCACCTCCGCTGAGCTCCCCAGGAGTCCACGAAAGTGGCGACAGTAGCGCAGGAGGGGAGAAGGAGAAAGAGTCAATACCACAGTGCTCTATCCAACACGGGAAAAGTTGACCTCGATGCTCGAACGTCGACCCTCGAGGGCTTGACCCCTCTTTCTCCCCAGACCCCCGTCAACGTGATCTCTCGTTTCCTACCGCCCGAAGGTCTCGACCCATCCCCTGGGACCAGTTTTGCATTCCGAGCCATTTGCTGATAGCACGAAGGGATCTCGGGCACCTCGTCAACCCTGAGCTTCGACAAGGCGAAACAGTACCAACAGACTCAGCCTTGGACCCTCGAGCGTCGATCCTCGATGGCTTGACTCCTTCTCCTCCTCCTCCTTCTCCTCCTTCTCCTCCTCCTCCGTTCCCTCCTCCTCCTCCTCGTCCTCCTCCTCCTCCTCCGTTCCATCCGCCTCCTCCTTCTCCTCCTCCTCCGTTCCCTCCTCCTCCTCCTCCTCCTCCTCCTCCTCCTCCTCTGCGGTCTTTGGTCCCAAGGGAGTGCGGGAACGAAGGCCCTCTTGGGGCCCTCTTCGGCCATCTGGAGCTCCACTCGCAGTGCGCTCCTCGGCACCAGAGTGTGCAAATGAGCAAAATGAGCAAGAGCAGCGGCAACAATACGGGGTTGCGGTTTGGGTCCGCGGGCTTTCTCTGCCGTACGGTCCCACTGCAGGCGCCCCCCAGGTGTGCCCGGCCTGGCTTAAAGAGTGTGGGGCCGGGGTCTCTCCGACCTACGGCGTAGGCGGGGGAGGCTCTGGGGTGCGGGCCACCTGCCTACGGGCTGTGGGGGTGGTTCTGGGTCCCGCTAAGGCTCGCACCGCGCTCCCCACGCGGTGGCCGAGGGGGTGCCAGGGTCCCCGATCTCAGAGGGGCGGGAGGTTTGGGGCGGCATTCAGATGTGGTGTCGTGAGCTGAGCGTGAATTGGCGGCGAGCGAGTGGGCTCTGTGAGCAGGCGACGGAGTTCGTAGGTTTGCTTCTGTGGCGGGCTGGGACCCCCGATTGAAGGCACAGTGACCTGTGGCTGCAGATGCCTCTCTGCTCCCCTCCTGCTTCTTGGCACTGTCTTGCGGAGGCCGCCTCACATGCCTGGAATGCCCTGTAAGGTTTGTGACGCATATGTAGTGGTACTCCCAGCTTGGTTATGGTGTTTGCACGTGCGTGCGCACCAGGAGAAACCAAGAGAATCCTCCTCTTCTCCCTCCTCCGCCTCCTCCTCTTCATCCTCATTATCATCCTTCTTCTCCTCCTCGCCCTCCTTCTTGCGGACAGCCGCCGCGCAAGACGGCAGCGTGCCAGTTGCCGGGCAACGGAGAGCAGCACAAGGATGGTGGACAACCTCCAAGACCCACTCAAGTCCTCCTCTTCCTCCTCCTTCGCCTCCTCCTCCTCCTCCTGCTCCTCCTGCTCCTCCTGCCCCTTTTCCTTCTTCTTCTCCTCCTCCTCCTCCTCCTCCTCCTCCTCCTCCTCCTCCTCGTGCTCCTCGTCACCCTCGCGCAGGTCGGCTGCGGCGCCGAGCGTTCGCGGAGATCGAGGCCGACATCGAGCGGCTACGACGCACTGTGCTCCGCGCCTGGAGGCTGGCGGCGTCGTGCGGCCGCCCCGCTTCCCAGGCGGGGAGCCAGGACCGCGGGCCGCCTTTGCGAGCGCGGCGGCTGCGCGCCGCGCTGTCGCTCGAAGACCTCGAGCCTCGAACTTCGAGGCTCGAGGTGCGAGGCAGTGATCTGAACTTTGGCGTCGGTCCTCGGCAGTCTTCCAGCCTCCGGATACTCTCCAGCAGCTGCGCCTCACCGAGGTCGTTCCAGGGGGTGCCTGGATCGTCCCGCACGGTCGCCTGGGAGCCAAAGTATGGCCCGAAAACCCAACGTTATGATGTTCCAACCTACTTTAACATCGCTCACCACAAAGAATTGCGAGCGCCATGAGCGCACCGAAACTGAAGGATTTTCACGTAACGGACCATCGGGGGCGACACTCGTTCGACTTTTCGCCAGCGCGTCGGGTAGGCAGTGTCTTGGCATGGCTTCTGGGTGCTCGCAACTACTTCCGGGAGGTGGTCCTTACGTACGACGGGAGCAGCACAATCCCAGGGGCAACGACGGGGGGGGCAGGCTCAGGGGGAGGCGGGAGGGGGCGCGTCGGACCCCACATCCCCCTTTCATCGCCGACAGAGGCCCCCGGCAGCCCGCCCCGCCCCAGAGGCGTGCGGAGGCTTGCTGCCCGGGGCCCCTCGCCGACGCATCAACGCTCTTCCCGGCCTCCCAGACGGGGCCCTGGCAGAGGGAATCGGAGGATCGCGCCGCGTCGCCGATGCATCGCCGATCGGTTCGATGTGGAGCTCGTGCTTCCCCACGCCGACGCCGCCGATGCACCGCCGATTCATTGGCGATGAGGCGCGATCCTTCGACCCCATAGGATGAGGAGGAGGAAGAGGAGGAGGAGGAGGAGGAGGAGGAGGAGAAGGAGGAGGAGGAGGAGGAGAAGCCCATCTAGGAGGCCTCTAGGTGTATCGCCGGTTCCAGCTCGATATGTTTCCCCCACGAGCTGTGGTCCCCGGCAGGGCGGTCCTTTCCCCCCACACGCGGCCGCGGCGCGGACGGTCCAGAGGCTGAACGCCGCCGGGCCCTTTCGGGTCGCAGGAGAGGAGGAGGAGGAGGAGGAGGAGGAGGAGGAGGAGGAGGAGAGGAGCAGGAGGAGCAGGAGGAGGAGGAGAAGGAGGAGGAGGAGGAGAAGCCCATCTAGGAGGCCTCTAGGTGTATCGCCGGTTCCAGCTCGATGTGTTTCCCCCACGAGCTGTGGTCCCCGACAGGGCGGTCCTTTCCCCCCACACGCGGCCGCGGCGCGGACGGTCCAGAGGCTGAACGCCGCCGGGCCCTTTCGGGTCGCAGGAGAGGAGGAGGAGGAGGAGGAGGAGGAGGAGGAGGAGGAGGAGGAGGAGGGGGCGGGGACGATTTCTGCTGCACCTGGGCCTCGTTTCGGCCCCGCCGCCGGGCGCCTTCCTCGAGGCATGGGCGCCTCCTGGCGCCGGGAGGCGCTGGGAACACCACCTGCGCGAGCGGATTCGCCATCGCTCGGCGACTACAAAGGGTGTGGCTACGCCAGGGTGTGGTTTGCGATCGGCGCCGTCGGGGCCTGAGGGGCACGACACTGTCCTCGTTGGGCCTCCTCGGGGCGCGGCGGAGAGCTCTGTCGAGGTCCTCGCCCGCCCCCCAGGGTGCCCTTCAGGGTGCCGGTTGCAAACCACACCCTTTGCAAACCACACCCTTCGGAGTCGCCGAATCGCCCCCCCACTTTCTTGCCAACCCCTCGTGTTGGACCCGGCAGCGGCCCAGCATCGGCCGACCTCGAGCGACCTTCAGGAGGGGAAAAGACACACAGACACAAGTCATCGTCGATTCCCCAGAAAAGACGGGAAAATATGGGAAGTGGGGGGGGGAACACAGAAGCCCAGAAAATATGAGAAAATATGGGGGATCATGTTATTTGTGTGTGTGTGTATTTATTTGTGTGCCCCAGGGCCCCTTCATTGTTGGACCCGGCAGCGGCCCAGCATCGGCCGATCTCGAGCGACGTGCGCTGTTGGAAAGCCGCGCGCTCGCTCCAGGCTGCACGATCCGCACGGTGTCCGAGGCCAGCGCCGGCGTCATCGCGGCGCGAGCCTGGCGCACACGTGCCCTCGTCGTCGTCGACGTCTTGGATGATCTTGGGGCGCGTTTCTGGAGGCGCTCGTCGCCACGGGCTGGGCACGGCTCGGGAGACTGCTGTCCAGGGACCGGTTGTGGAGGGTCGGGCCGGTTCTCCAAGAAGCGCCTCTGGCAGGGCTCGAAGGTTTCCAAGAAGGGTTCTCACAGGGGAGCTGCAAAAAAAATGTGGCTGGGGCCCTTCCATTCTGACCAGCAAGAAGGGTTCCCACAAGGAAGCAGCAAACAGAAAGGGTTCTCACAGGGAAGCCCCCTTCCATTCTGACTGGCCCTGGCAGGTTTCCCTCCAGCCTTTCCAGCCCTGGCGAACTCATCGAAATTGTGTCGGGCCCGTTTCAGCCCATGCCAGTTGTTTCCAGCGCTACCGACTCCCACCTGCACTGCATTCCCCACTGCCATGATTCCAGATTCTGTGCAGGCGGCGTGAGGATTCCTCAGAAGCCACCCGCCTTAAAAGGCCGCGCCCCTCGCGCCGCCCCCGCGAGCGCGCCGCCGTGGCGTGGGCGGTGGTGCTGTGGTCGGCGTTTGGGGGGAACGCGCCGATCGGAGCCAGACCTCGGGCCCTGGAGGTGGCCCAAACCCTCGCGTTCTCCGTCTCGGCCCTGCGATATCAGCGCCGATGTCGAGCGTGTGAGCCCGCGTTCACTTGGTCTCCAGGGCAGACCGTGGCACTGAGCCTCGTGGAGCTGGATGTGACGTTTCGTGATGTTGTCCTTCGTTGGCGACAGAAGAGTTGCAATGGTTCTGCTGCTTAGCGTCCGCCAACCACGCCCTGCTGATACTGGGGTCTTCGGTGGAGCTCCCTACGGAGCGACGAAGCGCGTGAGGGGTGTGGCGGCATGGGCACAGGGAGAGCAGAGGCAGGAGGAGGGGGAGGATGAGAAGGAGGGGAACGAGAATACGCGCGCGCTGCCGGAATCAAAAGACGCCCAACTCACACAGGATGGTTGAGAATGGTTTTCCCGAGTCCATTCGCTGACTTTCGCTTCGTACTTACACGGGCCTTGCTGGGGGCATGTTTGGAAGCCTCTTGGAAGCTCAGTGGTGTCTCCTGGGAATATCTTAGAGCCTTTGGGATCTGGTTGGGCAGTCTTCGCCTGGTATTGGAGCGTCTTGAAGCCGTATTGTGGCGGGCTTTGGTTGTCTCAGGGTCGTCACCAGGCTGACTGGGTGCCAGGAAAAATCAACGGCGGCGGTTTTCGGACGGCGCGCGCGTCGAGGGGGCTGGGGTCAGCTCTGGAAAAGTACAAGGAACCTTTCAGGTAACCAACAATACTTCTAACATGTCTCAACGTGCCGCTTGCATGGTGGTGGATAAGTCGGGTACAGGATCGCAAGAGGAGCCAGCGACCCATGTGATTAGTTTGAGCTTGATGTGTGGAGACATCCGTTGACAAACGGCGCCCACCATACATATAGATAAATTATGCACATATACATGTATACCTATAGACATGTGACATGAACACTTATATATGTATACATAATTCAAGTTTGTGGGCACGGATGTCACACCACGGAGTTATGATTTGGCGGCTGTACATGTAGGTCTGGCGTTGCGCAATACGGTTTTGCCCGTGCCGATGCGTGAATGTGATTTTATGCGAAGGGCTGGGCCCTCCACAGCCAGCACCCCAGACCGAACCTTCTCGGGACAACTCTGGAGCCATAGCTAATTCCAATATTGGGCCCCTTTTGGGACATTTGGCGGTCATCAATGAAAGAGAGTATTCAAAAGTACGTCGCAGGAGGCGCTGCGCCGCGCAGTGCTGGCGGAGGAGCGTGAGGCAGCCCGGGCCCGCCAGGTGGCCCACCACGCTGCACGGCGGCACTTGACCGCCGCCATGGTCGGTTGGAAGGCGGCATTACAGCTGCAGCGGCGTGAGGCCACCCACCGACAGCGGACACTGCACGCCGAGGTCGAGTTCGCGACGAAACTCCACAAGGTCAAGACAGAAGGCGCCAAGCTGGCGGACGACCTCCGCGGGCAGAGGCGTGCCCACGGCGTCGCTGCGATCCACGCCAGCATGGACCGCTGCATGCAGGCGGTGGTGCACGCCTGGTCTGCGACCACGCGGGAGCAGCAGCGCGAGGCCGCCTACCAGCGTCAGCTGGACATCGCGGCCGCCGAGGCGGCCGCGGGCTGCGCCGTGTTGCGCATGGAGGGCAGACGCAACGCGCTCGACCTCAGGAGGAAGTGGCGTGCGGAGGCCCAGCGTGTCGAGGCCGCCAGGGCGCAGAACTGGCGCCTCGCCGTCCTAACGGCCTGGGCCAGCCTGGGCAGGGCCGCCCGCCGCGAGCTACTCGTGGCCCAGCTGGCGGCCTCGCGCGCGACGGTGGGCAGGCAGGCGTGGCAGGTGGGCCGGTGGCAAGAGGCATTCTGCAACTCCAAGCAGCGGGCGCGCCGCGCCCGCTGCATCGGCGAGGCCTTCCTCGCCTGGTCCCTCGCGGTCTCACTGGGCGGCATCGGCGCTGCGGCTGGCGACGCCGCAGTGGAGACGGCCCCCGCCGCAGCCGTCGCAGACAAGGCGGCCCCCGCAGCGGCGGCTGCCACCGCAGCCGTTGCTGGTGGCATCGTCAGCGAAGCCGACAGCGTCTCGCAGGTCTGAGAGCCCATTGTGGCCCGCCGCTCGTGCTGGCGGAGGCAGACAGGGCTGATCAGTGGCCGTGCGTGGCGGAAGGAATGGACGCTTCGCGCATGCACCGCGAGCTTGCCCATAGGTTACCTCTGAGCCGCAGCGCGATCGCGCCTTCTTGCGGTGTTTTCCTCTTCCTCGCTGGACTTACTCTGTGCCTCTGGCCGGGCGCAACCTGCACGCCCGATCGTCTGTCTCCGGCGTGGCACTTTCACGCGTGGGGGACAAAGGAAGCTTCAAAAGCGCTTTCTCTTCATCTTCCCCCTTCTCGGCCTCTCCGTCATCGCAGCCTGTGTCCGTCTGAGAGGCAGCCTTCGGCAAGAGACCCGTCCAGCCTTGCATGCGCCAGCAACTGCAGGGTGCTCATCTCCCTCAACGTGCTTGCAGAACTCCCGCTCAGCACCCCGTTGGGCCCCCAGGGTCTCCAGAGATCCCCCCGGAGGCCTTCGAAGGCCCCAAGACGTTTCAGACATCGATGAAGATCTAGATCCTCGGTCCATCGATCCATCGATCGCCTTCTGACAGGAGCAGATGAGCGAGCCACACACCTCGGAGTATCTGACGGAGGATGCGTTTCGGATCGTGCGGCCCCACGGACTTCGTGTGCCCTCCCTGCCCTGCTGGAGCAACCCAGGGAGGAGGAGGAGGAGGAGGAGGAGGAGGAGGAGGAGGAGGAGGAGGGAGGAGGAGGAGGCAGGAGGAGAATGAGTTTGAGTAGGTGGGTGGGCGTTCGGTGGATAATGGGGACGGGTCCCGCGAGCAGAGCAACACGCACCACGACCGAGACGACGCCGACGACGATGACGGAGACGAGGCGCGCAGGCGATCCCTAACGAAGCGCGGATGTTGGAGAGGGGCCCCGCCTGCAGGCTCAGTGAAGCGGCACATCGGTGAGAGCATTGCTGCAGCCTCCCCTGAGCACAGGCACCTCCCCAGAGCATCAGCTAGGCAGGTCGGCGTTGCACCCTCGTGCCTTGCCGCACGCTGGGCGCGGTTCGGCAGCGCCGCTGCCGCGACAACACCCCCTCGCCAGAACCACCGACTCGGGCGGCAGCGACAGCGACAGTGGCAGTGGCCGACGCGTCAGAGAGCTCTACAGTGGGTCTACAGTGGGGGTGCGTGCCAAGAAACACCCTGCTTGCCTCCAGGGTGCCCTGGGTTCCTTGGGTTTCAATCGTTTTGCGACGGAAAGCGTGACGTCCCCTCACCAAACATCCATGGACGTCCTGGGGTCTCAGGGTTGGATTTCTTGTGGAAGGTTGTTTTTGGTCGAGCCCCTACTGTAAGCGCCGCGGCTCAGAGAGCTGGGAAGACGGACGGAGGGGCGGTGGGACGGACGGACAGGCGGCGCGCAACGTTTTTGCAGACCGAGTGGGTGGTCATTGCACGAAGGGAGCAAGAATCCCGAGCAGAGCAGCACGCACCACGACCACGCCGACCACGACGACGACAACGACGACGACGACGACGACGGAGACGAGGCGCGCAGGCGATCTGCACCGAAGCACGGATTTTGGAGAGGGCCCTCCCTGCAGGTTCGGTGAAACAGCACGTCGTTCAGCTGTGCTGCAGTCTCCCCGGAGCACAGGCACCTCCCCAGAGCACCAGCCAGACAGGTCGGCTTTGCACCCTCATGGCTCGCCCAACTCTGGGCACGTTTCGGCACCGCCGCTGCCGCCACCACCCCCCCGTCAGGGCCACAGACTCGGGTGGCAGCGGCAGCAAAAGTGGCGCGGGCCGACGCGCCCCAGAGCTCAGGAGCTCGAAGCATCGCGGCTCAGAGAGCTGGGAAGACAGGCAGACGGACAGACGGACAGACAGCCAGGCGGCGTGCAATGCATGGAGCGGTCGCTGCGTAAGGGAGATCCCCGAGCAGAGCAACAACAACAACAACAACAACAACAACAACAATCATTTTACCCGAACGCGTGGTGTTCTCCCCAGTGCCAGGGTTTTCATACGACACCAGGCAATACCCCCACTTCGTGGGGGGGCATTACAAGCTCTACCAAATATCCAAACGACTCTTCGCGACCACCCAAACCCAGCTTCCCGCCCTATGACGTTGGGACACTTCACTTCGTGGCGTGCGGACGACCGTGGCTACTACACTGGCGTGGGGTACACACCCACAGAACTTGGTCACTTATTCGGGGCGCGCATGTGCCCAGCATGGTGCAATTGTGCCATACAATACATAATACAGAGAGACGACTGTGTCCCGCATGGTATTATTTGACAGGGATGATGGCCCTGGCAGGTGCGCAACCGTTGTCGCAGAAGTTCGAAAAAGTTGCTCGCAAAAGCCCGTTTGACAGAAATGTTTAAAAAGTGTTGGTTTTCCTACGAATCCGCAAGAGCGCGCGGGATGAGATTTTGACATTTTTTTGTTGAAAAACCATTGGTTTTTTGATGTTTTTATGTTAAAATCGCTCCGAACACTAAGCTTTTGGAAGGATTTCGTCTTGCGCGCGCGAATGTCCACTTTACCTTATTTTTTGCAAGGGATTCTTGAAATTTGATTACATTTGAACAAGAAATTTCATTTTATAGTGTTTTTTGCAAGGGAAAGCGGGGGGGAACAAAACAACCGGATCTGGACCCCATCGTTTTACCTGAGGCTTCCTCACGAAAATGATGAAAATGTAGCTGCGGCCTAGGCGCGGCGGGGGGGGCGTGCACCAGGGGGCCCAACAATAATTATTCTTTAGAATTAGTAATGTTCAACAACAACGACCACGACGACGCCGACGATGACGATGACGATGACGGAGGCGAGGCGCGCAGACGGCGCGCACCAAGGAATGGATTTTGGAGAGGGCCTACCCTGCAGGTTCGGTTAAGCAGCACGTCGTCGAGCTGTGCTACAGCACCCCCTGGGCACAGGCACTTCCCCTGAGCTTGGGCACTGCCGTTGCCACCCCATCGTCAGGTCCACCGACTCGGGTGACAGTGACAGTAGCGGTCCCAGCGTCAAGAAGCTCTAAGCGCCGCGGCTCAGAGAGGGGGGAAGACAGACGGACGGACGGATGTTGAGGAGAAGGAGGAGGACTTTGGCTACAATAACAAGAGCCCCCGCCGGACAATTCCAATGTGCTCAGGGGTCGCGCTCGCACCGGATATTTCTTCATAGTGTATTCGAAAATTGCATTCGCACCTAGGATCTTCTCACCAATTACCCAAGTGCTGCGCTCTCGACGTCGAGGAGTCGCGCTCTCGCATGAGACTTCCTCAATTTACACAGGAATCATGCTCTCGCCTGAGGTTCCTTTACGATTTACGAAGTTCGCTTCAATGCCCCAGCTGCCCGACCCGCCCTCTAGGGCCCAGGTTCGTCCGCCCAGTCCTGCGGGGCCGCGGACACCAGTTGAAGATTTCGACCTCGAGGGAACAACGTCGGGCGGAGTATTGCCACACCGCAGTGCAGTCGAAATCTTGCCGAAAGGGGTCATCAAGCAGGGAGCGCAGCCATATTTCTTCGGCCCTTGTCAGGCCGAGGCGCTCGAAGGGCACAAGGGAGAACCTGCAGAATTAGCCTGGCGAAGAAGCCAACCGTATGCAGTCGTGAGTGATTACCGCAATTGTGGGTATCGCCTTTCGTGGGGCTCCCTCTGGGGCCACGAAATGCTGTGCTGCGCAGGGGAACCGCATGCGAGTTCCGCCACTGAGACCTTCGGTGGAACTTCCTCTGTGGCCACGAAACGCTGTACTGCGCGGGGGACCCGCATGCGAACTGCGCCACTGGAACCTTCGATTGAGGGGCCAAGAAGCGCTGTACTGGGCGCAGGAACCCCACTGGGACCTTCTGTGGAGCTCCCTATGAGGATGAGGATGAGGATGATGACGATGCTGATGATGATGATGATGATGATGATGCTGATGATGATGATGATGATGATGATGATGATGATGATGATGATGATGATGATTGTGGTGGTGGTGATGATGATGATGACGATGGTGATGACGATGGTGATGATGATGATGATGATGATGATGATGATGATGATGATGATGATGATGGTGATGGCGGTGGTGGTGATGGCCATGATGGTGACGATGATGATGATGATGATGATGATGGTGGTGGTGATGGCGATGATGATGATGATGATGATGATGATGATGATGATGGTGATGATGATGATGATGATGATGGTGATGGTGATAGTGATGATGATGATGATGATGATGATGGTGACGATGACGATGCTGATTAGTATGATGATGATGCCCGTGGCGAGTATTATGATGGTGATGGTGATGGTGGTGGTGATAGTGATGGTGCTGGTAATGGTGATGATGATGATGATGATGATGATGATGGTGAGGATGATGATGATGAGGATGAGAATGCTGAGGATGATGATGATGCTGGTGATGATGATGATGGTGGTGATGATGATGCTGATGACGATGATGATGATGATGATGATGGTGGTGCTGGTGGTTGTGATGGTGATAATGAGGATGATGCTGATGCTGATGCCGATGCTGCTGATGACGATGCTAATGATGATGATAATAATGATAATGATGATGATGATGATGATGATGATGATGATGCTGGTGATGGTAATGGTGATGGTGATGGTGATGGTGATGGTGATGGTGATGGTGATGGTGATGGTGATGGTGATGGTGATGGTGATGGTGATGGGATGGGAGGAGGAGGAGGAGGAGGAGGAGGAGGAGGAGGAGGAGGGGAAGAGGGAGGAGGGGGAGGAGAAGGAGGAGGAGGAGGAGGAGGAAAAGGAGGAGGAGGTGGAGGAAGAGAAGGAGTAGGAGGAGAATGAACAGAAGGACCGCGGGGCGCTGCCTCTTCAAAACAAGGAACCAATTCCACAGGAAGGTTGGGAATCAGCCTGGCGAAGAACCCAACCACATGCAGTTGTGAATACCGCAGTTGTGTGTATCGCCTTCCGTGGAGCTCCCTCTGGGGCCACGAAACGCTGTACGGGAACCGCATGCGA